GAATGCTCTCTGGTATTGTTCAGGGGTCCGGACCAAATGTGGATTCAGGCCGGATCTGGCCCGCGGGGCGTAGTTTGGGGACCCCTGGGTTAGATGAACCGGATCGGATTTAGGATTCTGTTTAGAGGTACCAGAGATTAGGCTGTCTGGAACTGGGTCAGGGCCCGGTCCAGGTTCTGCTGTCCTGCTTACGATGAGGAACCACTAAAGGAACAGATCAGGTTAAAGGTCGTGCAGAACATCACTTCCTGTTTGACCCTAACCTAAGCGGTGTGATCTGACATCACTTCCTGTCTCTGCAGCCCATGTGGAGCTGGTGAAGAGGACGATGGCGGGCGTGGCGCTGCCCTCGCTTGGCGTGCCGCCCTGGGCGCAGCAGATCTCCGACGCCCAGTGGAGCGATCTGGTCCAGAACACACTGCAGGAGCGCCAGAGTTCTGCCGGGCTGCGGATGCTGCGCCGGAACCACGTCCCCTGAACGCACCGCCATCCCTACAGGACCCTGAACGCACCGCCATCCCTACAGGACCCTGAACGCACCGCCAGCAGCTGCAGCCTCGGCCGCTTTTGGTTCCGATCCGACCCAGATAACCGTTTACTGACTCTTCTTTCTTGGTTTAGTCTGGACCAGCTTCCTTCCCGTCTTATTGCTCTCATGTTTCCTGTTGTGTGTAGAAACAGGAAGTGGTCATACATGGGGGCGGGATCTGCTTTATTTCTGCTGTACATGAACATCTGTACAAATCACCGTGTGATGCTCAATAAACATCTGGAACAGCGCCGCCTGGTGGTGTCACGACATGGGGGTGGTGGGGGCGGAGCTTATCACAGCCAATGGGATGATGACGTGCCGGCTCAACAGCTGGAAGAGCGATGAAGAAAAAACGGATGTGCTGTGGGCGTGGCCACTCTGGGCGTGGCCTCCATGGGGGTGTGGCCTCCCTGACATCACAAAGCCCCTCCCCCACCTCAGAGCCGGTTAATTAAACGATTTGTTTCCTCTGACCAATCAGAGCTCATGTCTGAAATGCCTGTAGGAACCGGCACCCATCGTATCACTTCCTGTGGTGACTGGACCATCAGAACTATCAGAACCGGGCTTGGTTCCTGGTGTTTGGGTCTAAGCCCTGATTGGCGGTAGCCCTGGCGGAGGCCACGCCTACATTCACTGCGTCTATGCAGATCCAAACCTGATTGGCTAAGTGAGGTCAGAGGTCACAGGGACATTCATCCACACTGCGTTCAAGTGCAGTAGAGCACAACAGGAGCCTGAAGGCCCCACAGTTTCCATGACAACACCTGGGCAGCCCATAACGGGGGTGGGGCTGGAGCAGCCAATCAGGACGCACCTCTGGGCTCCTGCTGTAGACTCCGACGATGCGTTCAGGCGCTCGGTGGCGGTCTGAACCGCGGCAGCCTCAGGGGAGATGTGGGCGTGGCTTGTGGGGTGATGTCCAATCACAGTGGAGCGCTGAGACACGGCACATGGACAGACGGGCGGAGCTTCTAGTGTCCTACTGGTTCGGGCCACCAGGGGTCAGAGCCGTGGAGAGGGCGGGGCCTCATGGGGGTCAGAGAGCCTCCTGATTGGCTGTGAGGAACTCCTCGGCCCTCTGATGCGCCTCCAGAGCTCTGATGGTGTAAACGTCCTGCGGCAGCTCCGACTTCCTGCGCATCAGCGCCTTGTCCTTCTGCAGCTCCTTCGCCCCCTGCAGGCCAGACCGAGAACTGGTTAGCCACCGCTAGCTAGCATAGCTCAGGTCAACAGGTGTGTCTACCTGGGACGCCTCCGTCTCCACCGTCTTCTTCAGCAGCTGGATGTCCTCTGCTGTCGGAGTCTCTGTCTCCATGGAGATGAAGGCCATGCCGCCATCGCTGAACATCAGGAACTGGAACGCAGCACGAGTCAGAAACACACACACACACACACACACACACACACACACACACACACACAGAGCATCACTCACCTCTTCCTGTGGGTGGAGTCCAGGCCGCAGGGGGTGGAGCTTATTGCTCTGCAGGTAAACAGAAGGAGACATGATGCCCAGAGACCTTCATCATCTTCATCGTCATCCTCAGCCCCCTACCTGTGGGTTCTGCCGGGCCAGATCCTCGATCTTCATCCAGACTTCGTCCCGCTCCTTCAGCTTGTATTTCTCTCTGCATGAGGAGCAGAAACAGGTCAGTTCTGTTGGTCCGGTCCGGTCCAGAGGTTCTGGTTCCTAGAACCTACTTCTGCTTCTCGGCCTTGTAGTGCTGAGTGCAGTCGTCAAACAGCTTCTGGTTCATCTCCATGAAAAGCTTCAGAGCGTTGTAGATCAGACCGTGGATGGTCCTGAGGAAGAGGAGGAGGAAGAGTGTGTGTCGGTGTGTGTGTGTCGGTGTGTGTGTGTCGGTGTGTGTGTGTGTACTTGTTCCAGTGGCTCTTGGAGTTCTTGTAGAGAGCAGGGAACATGATGGGGAGGATCTTGGCGGCGTTGTCGCTGATCAGACTCATGATGTACTCGTTGTTCCAGTAGTACAGCGCTCTCTCTGCCACCTGGAACCACAGCAGAACCTCCATTAGAACCAGCAGCTGCTGCCGATGCCGGCCCGGTTCTGGTTCTGGTACCTGGAAGTGCGGGCTGGACACACACTTGGCCAGCTGCCTGAAGAGCGGCTCCTGCACCTTGACGAACTCGGCCGGCTCGATGACGTCCAGGATCTCCTCCAGCTCGTTCAGGAACATCACCTCCTTCGGACTGTGGGTTTTGGGCCAGAACTTCAGCAGGCCCATGATCACCTGGGGAGGTCAGGG